TATGAACCACATCAACAAACGACAACTACTGAACATCAGATTCCTGAGTTAGGACAGGTGCAAACAATTGCAGCGGGTTAAAACGTTTTAATGGTACCAAACCTTCACCCTTATCTGAAACAATAGTGTAACATCACAACATAGAAAGACACACTATAAAATATCAGTTGAAATGGCTTAACTCAATCAAAAGACATATTAACACCAGTGAACATACACTGAACAAATAAAATTGATCTATGATACAATGTAAATACAAAATAAATAAACTAAGGGAAGAATAATTAAAGTAACATGTTATACCGCTGTGAAATGTGAAACAATTTAAGAAAAACAATATGCTTGAACAAAAATATCAGCCATGTTTGTATAATCATATTATAGTGTATTGCGTTCGTAAGAAACCATAAGGCTTAAAATTATTAGTTTCGTTACATCTTTGATAGTGAAAAATGACATACTGTTTATATTTTTTCAGGTGATATTTAAGAACTATTTCGTGTTAAAGTTGTATGAAGGGCTACTCTATCTATTTCAAATTCAGAAATTTCTTTGCAAAACACCTCTTAGAAATCCGATTTTAAAAGAATAAAGTTCTTGCTTCCGTGTTCTTTAGACTTAATTTGATGTCTACGCTAGCTCTTCAGCACAAGTGAACACACGTATTATAAAGGCAACAGTAGTATACCGCTGTTGAATAGTCATAAACCGATTTAGCTGAAACAAATCCGGGTCACAAACCAAAACCGAGGGAAACACATCAACTATAAGAGGAAAACAACGGAACAACAAAAACTGGTTTTAACAAAGTCTATCGGAATCATTTTGCAAAGAATTCCCCTCTAACCGGTGCTAGGGGCCGTTCTTAATTTGCAGTGAGGTGACAGTTTTCTTTTTTCTTTTTTTTTCTTTTTTCTCTGTGTTGAAGCCCTCACTGTGACTTTGAAGAACAGCAATAAAAGACACTGAGATGAAGAACAGCAATAAAAGCGCTGTTCCTTTCCTTTTAGTGTGTTTATTGCTGTGCATGTAATGATTTTGTGTCAATTTCCTTTGTTAATTCAAGAGATTGATACTAAAAGTACAAGTTCAACAAATTAGTGCTTTAGATTCGATATTTAAAAGAAATTCAAAAGAAAACAGAAATAAAGACATCATTTAACACGCAGTAAGTATGACTTCATATCTATCAAACAAATCAAAAGAAAGCAATAGTCAAAAAGTAACTATCAGTCATTTAAAATGAGGCTCTTTGGTCGCTCGTAATCAGTTGTCCTCAAATATAGTTCCTTGCGTTTTTTATGTTTGTAAAATCATATCAAATTGTATTATGTTCGTAAGAACCCATATGTCTTAAAATTTTTAGTTTCGTTATATCTTTGATAGTGAAAATGACATACTGTTTATATTTTTCGGGTGATATTTTAGGACTTTTTCGTGTCAAAGTTGTATAAAGGTCTACTCTATCTATTTCAGATTCAGACATTTCTTTGCGAAACACCTCTTAGAAATCCTATGTTAAAAGACTAAAGTTCTTGCTTCCGTGTGCTTTAGACTTAATTTGATGTCTACGCTAGCTCTTCAGCACAAGTAAACACACGTATCATCATTGTTTCACGTTTTGGTTATATGTGAACTTTATACATTAAATATTTGTACTTCAAGCATAATGTCTTCAGTGGGAACTCCAGAGCTGAAACCGTGTAAACTTTTACGTTAGCGGGGAGTAACCGGCCCGTAGAAATTTGCGTCATTTTGGCAATAAAAATAAAAACATGTAGATTGGTTAATTGATTGTAAAGTCTAGCTCCTGAAAACACGCTAGGTTCTTAGTTACTGAATGATGCATGAAAATAATCACTGCGAGATGCAGTTTAAGAAATTTTGCAACCACTTGACATTAGAAATTCCATTTTCTATTAATAAATTAATATCCCACAACTGTTGTCGTATATAGTTATTAAAACATACTCTTGGTGTAACAAAAAATGGTTGACTGCGTGTACAAAGATAAAACAACGTTTTACTGCCTGTAATGTCTTAAAAGGTCGCTACACATCTCTCATACTGTTTAACGTAACCTATTTTCGCAGGCGTCATCACTAAAAAGCCCTTCAGTTGTTGAATATATTCCTCTCTATCGTTTTGCATAAAAAGATTCTTCTTAAAAAATGTGCTATCTGCAGAAATTTCAGACATTGTTTGTGCATACATATTGGTAAGGTGTTGATTTGGATGTTGGTATAGGTGTGGGTATGTGTATTGATGAGAGTTTTCGGATGTGTTCTGAATCGGTGACTGAGTGGATGTGAATGGGCCGGAGTGTGTTTTGTGCAGGTTTTATAGTTCTTTAATACCAGTTCTTACTTTTTCACAAAATTTTCATTTTACAGAGAGTGTTTCAATATCAAAATAGATCTATCTTTATCTTTACATTTAGCACGAGAACAGTTACAGTTACATCGTGTTATGTAAAGCTCAGGCAGATGTCTCTGAAAAAATGTTGCATATATCAGAGCTATATATATACACCTTGTCTCTGCATAGGTAAAAAAATCAGAGACGACTGACTGTAATATAAACATAATTGTTGTTGGCTTTTAACTAGCTTTCAGTAACTGCGGGTACTCTCAAATCGTACGTTCGTGTTAATTTGACCTGTTGATACAATTTGTAATGCATTTTTGTTATTTAATGTTTACTAATTTATTGTTATATCTCGTCTCACTATTTTTAATATATACCACCTTTGATAAGTGTTTGGTATGACGATAAACTTTGCACTTCTTTTCTCGTACTATGAACAACAATTTTTTTTTATCATCTTTGTAAAAAATATTTTCGTACTTCATGATGTATGCCTTAATACAACAAAAAAGTTATTTTTATTTACCTGTGTACGTTATTTTATTTGGCTGCATTTTGTCCAAGGTTATGGTTGTCTTTCTGATATTGTTTTACAACTCACCCCCTTTTTTTTTTATTAATTTTGTATTTATAGATTGTGTCGGCATAGATCAAATGTATTCGTTCAGTGTATGTTCACTTGTTTTTGTTAATATGTATATGTCTTTTGATTGAGTTAAGCCATTTCAATTGATATTTTATAGTGTCTCTTTCTATGTTGTGATCACGGTTACACTATTGTTTAAACCCGCTGCATTTGTTTGCACCTGTCCTAAGTCAGGAACCTTATGTTCAGTGGTTGTCGTTTGTTGATGTGGTTCATAAGTGTTTCTCGTTTTTTATATAGATTAGACCGTTAACTTGGTTTTACTGTTTGAATGGTTTTACACTGGTCTTTTTTGGGGCCCTTTATAGCTTGCTGTTCGGTGTGAGCCAAGGCTTCGTGTTGAAGGCCGTACTTTGACCTATAATGGTTTACTCTTGGATGGAGAGTTGTCTCATTTGCACTCACACCACATCTTCTTATATCTAAATAAGGATGTGTGCACCTGTCCTAAGTCAGGAATCTGATGTTCAGTAGTTGTCGTTTGTTGATGTGGTTCATAAGTGTTTCTCGTTTCTCGTTTTTTATATAGATTAGACCGTTGGTTTTCCCGTTTGAATGGTTTTACACTAGTAATTTTTTGGGGCCCTTTATAGCTTACTGTTCGGTGTGAGCCAAGGCTCCGTGTTGAAGACCGTACTGTGACCTATAATGGTTTACTTTTATAAATTTTGACTTGGATGGAGAGTTGTCTCATTGGCACTCATACCACATCTTCTTATATCTATGTGTGGTATGTTTACCAATGAAATACAAAGTAGGTAGATCGCACTGTAAATTAAGTTAGACCAGGATGGAATTGAACTCTAAGTTCCAGGCGATAGTAATTAAGTCAGTTTCAGTCCTTCCGTAACTGTTTTATCAAGATACGAACGTTTCGGTTTTTAGACGTTTGTTTGTTGAAGGGAGATAACCTATTAACGCTCAAACAAAGAAGAGGGCATGGCGTCAGATATTTTAATTAACCCTTCTATGCTTAAAAAATGGTAACCATATTAATATAGATTTTTCTTCGTGATGACCAGCATTTCCAATAGCATATATACGACTCCCGATAGTATACTGGCTTAGATACAATACACCTTATCGCTATTTGTCCGCCATTACTGGATATCACACAGGTTCCCATAAAATTTTGACGTCATAAAACAAAATATCTGACGCCACAATGGAAAAGTGATTGTTGTTGACGTCAAAAGTTCAAGCGGCCGGGTCAGCCGGAAATAGCGATAAGGTGTATAACGTAACCCTATGTATGCCTCAAACATCTGATAAACCACTTTATTCACTATTATATTACTCACTACATGTAGACACTATTCAGTGAAAATTATATCATAAAGAGTGTGACTTTAAGGTATATCATAACCTTTCGTCAAAATTATATTATATGGACGTATTTATACCACAAATTTTACTCAACAGAAAAACCTGTCAACTTGGAAAAGAATTAAAAAGTGTTTCAGCATGGATTGGCCTAGCTGCAGAATGTTCAGTAGTCAGAAGAGTCAGTAGCTCTTATGTCCTTGTGAATTTTTTGACAATTTGCAGTCTACCATCTATGGTCTGCAAATTGTCAAAAAATATCACAAGGACCTAATACTACGGTTCCACAGCCAGACCATAGCACTTACGGTCCATGTGATATTTTTTGACAAATATTTTCGTTCCTACAGATGCTCCCAAAAAAATTTAGTTGGTAAAACATTTGAAATGCTTCCCTCAGATAATAGATTTAGTAACCTGTATTGATTGACATGGACAATAGGTGGTTTAAACTGTTTAACTCAATAACTGAGTGGACAATATCAAGTGAAACTCAGGTCAGTGCATAATCTTGCCAGTGAAACAACGATTTAAGTCGCCCAAAATTTGGCAAAAATAACAAAATAGCTAAAAACTGGCCAGCTGACTGACTTCATGGCGCAGTCAAATTGCTATCAAATTCAGTATATGGGAGACAACTTGTGATTTACAAGTTGCACAGGTAAACAAAAATGGCGACTGACAAGGAAAACCAAGATTTAAAAAAAAAAAAACCTATTGTTGATGATCAAATGAAATAGATACAATAGCAACTTTGATCATCCTTGTATTTGGATTTAACATTCAAAACAATTTAAACTGGGAAACCAAGCAACTGTTTGAGTTGTCATTTTAAATGATTTTTATCATGAGGAAGTTGGGTAATCACTAAGCTGATTTGTTTATTGTTTTTTCTAATGAAAGAAATTAGTCTAATGATATTCTATCAAAATTCATAATAATAATTTTCCTCTTAGAAAACAATTTGTGATCAACACAAATAATATTTATAGAAATTATTTGTTTCTCTTCTAAAATAAAAATTTAGTTTCTGTCTTATTTATTTTTTTTTTCATTTTAGAATTAATTATAGCAGTTTGTAAAAAGACACATTTGAACATTTTTTAAATGAAATTTCGTTTTTTATTGTTTGATGATAAGAAAATAAAAACAAAAAAACAAAGGAAATTATAATTGCAGTTACCATTTTCTCTTCAAAAATAAACTTTAGTTTTTGTCTTATCGTTTTTTTTATCATTATATAATTAATTAAATCAGTTTGTAAAAATAAATTTTGAGCACTTTTTAAGTTAAAGTTCGTTTTTAATTATTGTTATATATGAAGAAAATAAAAAACAAAAAAGGAAAGAAACTAATTATCGCGATTGCCGTTTTCTCTGTTGAAAACAACTTTCTTTTTTCTTTTCTTTTTTAAACAACTTTATTTTCTGTATAATTGTTTTATTTTATCAATTAGGGATTAATTAAATATTTTTACATTATTGATATAAAATACTAGAAAATTTCCAATCATCTTTTTAAAACTGTTTCTAATTGGTAATATAGAGATTCATATTATTGTCAATAATGGCGTATATGTAATTTGACACATCTCTGCTTCTTTATCATATTGGTAATTAAAAATGACCCGACAATGTAATCGATACGATGGCCGAGTGTCAAGTCCTGTCAATATATTATGTCCGAGTTGCCATAGCTGTCAACTGACCAGTATTCTGCGTGTCACACCCGAGAATTTCCCTCTCCACAGGGGATTTTTTAAATACCCGCCGGGTATTCAAATAACCGGGATTTCAGAAAATGACCTGTTTTAACCCGTATTTCTGACTGGTATTGTTTCCGGTATTTAGAAGGCAAATATACTTTCGGTTTTCTCTGCATTATTCATTTGAAAAGGTAAACATTTGAAATTAGAATTTGCTTATTTACCGTGCCAATGACAGCTATCAAACCATTACATTTGATTGAAAAGTAACAATTCGAGGATTGTTTGTTATTGTACCACAGAAAGTTGAAGCCAGTCAAGCTTGACATACAATTCTATGTCCTGATTAAAAGATTTGCCGTTTGCAAATATCAAATATCCTGTAAATATCATTTTGAAACAATTTGAACCTTTTAATACATTTCTGTTGGAGAGAATAATTTTGTTATCACTTAAATGTAAAAGCTTTAAATCAAACCCATATGCTCTAGATATTACACTGAAAGGAAACACACTAACTTCTTTCTATTTATCTTCCTCCTGTGTATAGGAGCACATTACATTGTAGCTATAATTGATTTCTAATTACATTTATAGCTGGGGATTATGACATTCATTAATAAAAAGAAGTAAACTAGTGTGAATAAAACAATAAAAGGGCATTGCTTCAGAAAGATATTTAATTAATGATAAATATTTATATACTTAACAAATACAAAAGTGATTATTTTTAGGAAACTCAGTGGTACATGTATATGTTAAAGTATGTAAAAAAAACTCTCAATACTAAAATTGGACCGAAAAAGTTCTTATGCGTTATGACATACCTGTCAACTGACCCAGATCCTGCGGGTGTGACCCGAGATTTTCACAATTCTGAGGGGTCACCAGGGATACCCGCTGGGTGGCCAAATAACCCGGGAATTCGGAAAATAACCCATTTTCACCCAGATTCCTAAGCCTTCAGACTGATAATGATATCATATATAAAGTGATTTCCCTTTGAAATACTGGCAAATTCGTAATTCTTCCTGGACAAGAAGTTCAACTAGCTGTGTAAACTCAAATCAAGTGACCCATTTCAGTGCATGGCTTCACTTGACAGCTTTGATGTCAAACATACCGTTAATTAACACCAATTACCTTAGCTTTAGGTCGTAAATAATTTGTTTATTTCAAAGTTGTTTTAAAAACAATTTGAGTTACTTCCCCTTTTTTGTCAATTCACAATATACTCCTTAAACTTATGTTTTTTTTGTAAAAAGATTAAATCTAAAATGAATTGAATGTAAAAACATATTAGAATAATACTTTCACTTATTTTTCTACCTTAGAACAATTAAAAAATAAAAGATTTGAAAATTACTTTTTTCATCTATACCTCCTTTAATTGTTTAACTTTATTTTATTATACTCTAATATCATCCTATGGAACGTTCTACCGACCGTGCAAGGGCTGTATAGCCAGTCAAGGTCGTTAAAAACTTCCATTTGTTGTTGTTGAAACGTTCTAATGTTTAAAAGCTGCACAAATGTATATAAAGAAATTACAAATTGGCACAATGTATGTCTTGGAATGAATATGAAAAGGAATTAAGGCAATTCCTTTGTGAAACAAATTTTAATTGTAAACATGTTCTTATACATTTTTATACGACCGCAAAACATTTTTGCGGTCGTATATTGGAATGACATTGGCGTCGTCGTTGTTATTATTATTATTATTATTTTTATTATTGCCAGATATTTATTTGTTTTTTCTGACAAAAGGACTAATATGATTGTGCAACTAGATATGATCAAATTAAACAACTTTGAATTTGAACTGTTACTTTAATTGTACACCCAGGTACAAATTGAACAATATAAAAAAAATAAGATACATATGGCCCTTTGTATTATAGTAAAAACCAAACATTGTAGCACTGCAAGCGAACGAGCACTTCTCTTTCAAATCTCACCACTTCTCCCTCTCAGTTTCAAAAAGAGAAGTCACTTCTCCCTATGATTCTGAAGTAGTGTGAGCCCTGTACATGTTACTGAAATAATTTTCTCCACGCTGACATGCATTTAATCACACTCACAGTGTCTCAATCTCTGAATATTTTTAACCCATATACCTTTATATAACAATATGAATGTATACATTCAGAGACAGATGCCTGTGCATTTAACGGAGTTTTTGATCTCCAATCTTTTCTTTTTCGTCTAAATGCTATTAGGTCCAATTGATCTACATTTGGAATGACAATAATCTTAAATTGTTCTTTATCCATAAACTAATATTTTTTGTGATGACTGAAAATATCTTCTTGTGTTGATATTGTGAAAAATATTCAAACTCCTAACTCTCATGAAAGCAAATTGTTCTATGAATTTCTTTCTGCCTTTTTGTGTTGTCAACAGTTAACTGGTTAACCACCAGAAGGACCGAAGTTCAAATACCAAAAACATTAACCAGTTAACCGAACTTATTTTCACCTTTAGTTCATTTTAGATAAAAGTGTCTTGAAATCACAAATAACAAGGTCACTGTACATGTGCATGGTACTTAAGTTATTGAAATCAATTGTCCAGTATATTGATTACTTGATTAAAATGAAAACAGTCCAATTTTGCATAATTTATAAGCACAAAGATATATATTGTCTAAGTTTGTGGAAAAATCTAAAGTAAACATCATGTACACGGTTATAAATATATATTGAACAATTGAAAGCTAGACAAAGATAACGATTTAGTTCATTATTTCACTTTAGTTTAATATTCTCTGGATGTGAATGTAAATATGTCAATCATCCCCATCACAGGCTTGGTCATATTTCAAACAATTAACTGATTCAAAAAATTTGAAAGCCATATTTAGTGCATTCTGCTCGAACAGGGATACATAAACGCTTTTGAATTGATGGGATTTATATTAAATGTTTACACATTTTATATCAAGGTACAAGGTTTTAGAAATGGATTACATGCTTCGTAGAATCATGCATATAAATGTAAAAGCATATCTTCTCTGATTATCGTCCCAAATCTTGTTTAAATTTGTATTCCAAATTATTTTTTAAATTTCTGTTACCACATTATACTACATGTATCTGAACTAAATTTTGTTTGTTCCAAAGATGAGCACTGCCATGCATAAGTACGCTAATCAATGTTCCCCTTGAAATCATATTTGAAGAAATTGAGAGAAACTTCAGTTCAGATTGACTGCTAGTTGTTAATAAACGTCTGGTACACTGGAAGATGTTTGTATATTTTTTACAGGTACTCTTTCAAGGTTAGTTTTAGGGGAATTTACCATTCTGGGAATTCTACTTTTAAAAGCAAAAGGGAGAGTAATAACAGAAAAGAATTATTATAAAGTGCATACATTTAGCATATTAAGGTATATAAAAGGAACAGTAAAACAGTATTATACAGTTATAGCCTTTGTATGAGGTCAATACGAGATTTTATCGACCTAAGAGAAGCATATGGACTGAGGATGAAGTCCGAAGTTGATATGCTTCTCTAGGTCGTTATAACATCGTATTGACCTCATCCTAAGGCTACAATTGTTAGATTATTTATCAACAACTACTGCACTGCATGAACAATGTAAAATTGGGGATTTCTAGAATGTATTTTTAGTAACATGCTGTATGCCCTGTGCAATTGGCTGTTTTTGAGCTACAAAAAGCTAAACACAACAGTATTGGCATGCAAACTGGGTAAATACAAATGAACATGTGAATGATGGGATCAAGTTTTAACAATTCACAAATCCTTAAAAATATTCCATTAATAATATAACTTTATATTTTATTGATTATAAAGTATTTGAATGTGATATGACTTACCATGAATCTCTTCTAAGTGAGTAGGGGGTATTATACATTGTTTGAAAACAATTTTAAAAGATTTTCTTTTTCGCACTGTCAACATATCAAAAATGGAATTCTATCATATACCTTAAACTTTTTAACTCATGAATTCAAAAATTGCATGTCTGTTCGTTTTATTTTCTCATCATTGGATGGTAATTAGCTACATGTATGCAAATCTGTCATAGGCATGCTTAGGATCATGTTGAAATATGATTTGTGAACAAGACTTTAAATGATTGTACTTCCAATCCAAGCATTAGTTCACATCATGCAATTCAGGAAAAGAGAGGAGAAAGATACCAAAGGGACATTCAAACTCATAAGTCGAAAATAAACTGGCTAAAAAAGAAAAAGACCAACAGACAAACAATAGTACATAAAACACAACATAGAAAACTAAAGACTGAGCAACACGAACCACACCAAAAACTGGGGGTGATCTCAGATCCTGCTCCACATGTGGCACCCGTCATGTTGGAAGTAGTCAATAGGATGAATTAATAAATATTGATTTACTTTGTCATGTTTGTTATTACTGGGCATATACATGTATTGATAAAACTTGGTAAATATGTACATTTGTATTTTATGTTTAAATGAACGTATTATGTGTGAGTGTGTGACTGGTGGTGTCATGTTTTTTTTTTTCTGCTTCTGCCAGATGATGGCCACACTCAACTTAATAATGATACTAAAATGTACCATGACTTTGTAACACAAACAATCCCACCCTTCTCCATAAATGCTTGCAGTGAATGAGTAACACAGGAAAGTGCCCATCTCATGTGCCCCTAGCTATAATACTGAATGGAGTTGCATCTAAGTAAAGCAATTTTATTAAATGGTTTATTTCTAAGTTTCTGCCATATTGATGAATATTCCAAATCACTTTTATCCATATCTTAATATTATGTTGATATGATACAGATGGAATTAGCATACAACCCAGTACTCAGCATGGGTACAGTCAGTGCTGTTAAACACTTTTTATACGGCCGCAAAATTTTTTTGTGGTCGTATATTGGTATGACGTTGGCGTCGTCGTCGTCTGAAGACACATTGGTTTTCGCACAATAACTTTAGTTTAAGTGAATGGATCTATATGAAATTTTTACCATAAGGTTCAATACCACAAAAGGAAGGTTGGGATTGATTTTGGGGGTTATGGTACCAACAGTTAAGGAATTAGGGGCCAAAAATAAGCATTTTTCTAGTTTCCAGACCATTACTTGTGGAAAGGTGTATGGATCTCTCTGAAATTTTCCACAAGTTTCAATACCACAAAGGGATGGTTAGGATTTGCTTTAGGGGGTTATGGCTCAAACCGTTAAGGAATTAGGGGCAAAAAAGGGGGAAAAACAAGGGTGTCCTGGTTAATGGACAAATACTTTAGTACACAACATAATTTAAAGCAGTGTAAGGGAGGTAATTCAAATACATCATTTGAATTACCTCCCTTACACTGCTATAAACTATGTATAAAGTAATGGTTAATGAACAATTAAGACAATTTAAAAGCAGTGTAAGGAAGGTAATCCAAATACAATGTTTTGATTACCTCCCTTACACTGCTTTTAAATTATGTATAAAGAAATGCATATTTATAAAGGAATACCAGTAAAAATATCTGCAAATGTTGCATCTTTTTTTTTACCAAAAAATCCATATAAAAAATTTGACACCATATTTTAAATTCTATTATAAAATTGATTAAGAAAGCACTATGGTAAATTTAAATAAGTAATTATGGTTGCAAACTCCATTGGAAATTTGAATTGAGATTATGACCGTAACTCGAGGGAAAGAATTTTTTTGGGGGGAAAAGGGGGGGGGGTCAATTTTTTCTCATTTCAGATTTCAGAAATTAAAAAGAAAAATTCTTCAAAAAGTGTGTGTGTGTGGGGGGGGGGGGGGGGGGGGGGGTAATTTTTTTTTTTTGTGGGGGGGTCAATTCGCAACAGCAAAGTGTATTGCACAAAAGCAAAAAATTGAATATAAATTCAAATCATATAACCAATTTTCAGTTCTTTGACTACAGTTGTTCTGTGTCAGAAACCTTTTATGTGTCAAATATTTAATTACAATCCAAATTCAGACCTGTATCAAGCGCAAATATTGCGTCCATTTTTGCCCCAACTGTTCAGGGTTGGACCTCTGCGGTCGTATCCAGCTGCGCTCGGCGAAGCAATTTATTAGTTTTGTTCTTTAATTTTCTCCTGCACAATGCATATTCATGTATTATTACCTAGAATTAAAATTTCGTAGTTAACATATTTGAAATATTATGTTAAATATATACTTTTTAGCATTGGTGGGAGTGAACAGGCATTCATAGAAGCAATTGAGAATGCTGCTAATGTTAATACACGCCTGGGCATAGAAAGAAAAATGAGACTTCCGTTTCTTGACTCACAGACTGGTGTGGCACAGAATCATACAGCTTTATGGCATCCATATAAAGATAGACAACAAGGTAAGTACTTTTTGGTGTAGTTAATGAAAGAAAATCAGTATACTTTTGACACAATATGTGACAGGTCCAATAATTTGGGGACAATAACTTAAAATCTGTTAAAGATGTCCCTCTACCACTGACTTTATGCCCAAAGACCTGTGTTTAGAAATGATCTTAATATATTCTTTTTTTTTTTAATCTTTCCCTTGCTGCTTAGAAACTTATCAACATTATTTCAAATAAAATAGATAACCTGTTGTTTAACAGAGGGATTTAAAAGAAATGCAGAAAACATATATAACTGCTTTTATATAATGAAAATAAACGCTTTTGTCAAATGGAAGTTAAACAAATGGAATCGTAGTCAGAAAATGATATACCTTGGCACCAAGGTTTTTCATTAGGATAAAGTTTTGAATAACGGATATTGTTTTCTATTTTGACAAATTATATTTTAAGAAATAAATAAGTTATTACCAGGTACATTTTACAAAAAATGTATATGGCAAGCACCAAACTCTATACAATGTCTCCATTTTTCATGTTGTTTGCAATCAAATAACTGAACTCTGCACAAATGATATGAAGTATTGCTTACAATGTACATGTACACAGAAAACCATTTATTATCATTAGGGAGCCACCAACTAGTCCGCAGAGCTTTCTCATAATCACTGTTTTACTCTCTATCCTTAAGCAGTTCAATAAAAAAATAGACTACACAAACATTTAAAACTGTATAAGAATAATGACTCAGTTTCATGTCCTTGGTGTATTGGTCCCAGTTTTTTTTTTTACATTACTGATCATAATAACTTGATGACCAAGTTTTTGTGACAAGCCTGCATGAATTTGTTTCATACTGGAACATCAAGTTTTAACAGTTTTTGATGCAGCATCTAATGGACAAAAATGTCCAAAGTTTGTTGGTTTTGATATGTTATTTTGTAATCTCATTGATGTACATTTTTATGCCTCACCTTCGATAGTAGAGGGGCATTACGTTTTTCAGTCTGTGCGTCCGTTCGTTTGTCCGTCCGTCCGTTTGTCCATCTGTCACGCTTCAGGTTAAAGTTTTTGGTCAAGGTAGTTTTTGATGAAGTTGAAGTCCAATCAACTTGAAACTTAGTACACATGTTCCCTATGATATGATCTTTCTAATTTTAATGCCAAATTAGAGTTTTGATCCCAATTTCACGGTCCACTGAACATAGAAAATGATAGTACGAGTGGGGCATCCGTGTACTATGGACACATTCTTGTAATATTATGAAATTGTTTTATTTTTATCCATATTAATTGTATATTGACAGCTTGCATTTTATTACACAGTTGAAAATTTTTATAGGACAATGTAAAGGCCAGTTATACAGTTACCCTGTCAAGAGATGGAAAAAGAAAAAACGATTGGCTTTTATGAATGCAGAAAGCAAAAAGACATCAGATATTGAGACTGGAGAAGCTGGTAATACTTTAAGAATATAAGAATGTTTGCTACACATGTTTTCACTTTTCACAGATTTCAGTGGAAAACTTTTGTTCTTTTAAATATCAATTATGACTTAATATATATAATTATTGAAAAAAATTTCAGAAACTTGGATTAAAAAAAAAGTAAGCATTTTGAAATTAGATTTTAGGGTAGTATTTTACTTTTCCAGTCTCATTTATACATGTATTGGCTTTTTAAAAACCAAAAAAGGAAGAATTTTTGCATACTATGTCATTAAAAAACTTTTGCAGAATAGAATTTATTATGAGTTACAATGGAATATATAATTTTGTACATTAATATATTTTTTTATCCTGGTGCTAGGGATGTCGATGTGTCCATCCATTTGGTCTTCTAAGCGCTTTCAAGCCTACAATTCTTGACAAAGGTCTATATATCAGCAATGTCTTGGAGACTTGGACGTGTACAAAAATCAGTGCCAATCAATTATTTTTAAAGGAGTTATGCTCCCTTGGAAAAATAAATTCTATGGAAAATTGTATTGAATATTTTCTTACACATTCAATTCTTTCCAGATTTTTATGAAATTCAGATCAAAGGTATAGATCAGTAATGACTCAGAAGACATTGCAAATCAGTGCTGATAATTTATTTTTAAAGTAGTAATGCTCTTGGGAAATGTAAATTCTATGTGCTTTAAAGTCTTCATATTCTTATAGGATTATTATTAAAATCATATCAAAGATTTTAATCAGCAATGTTTCAGACTAGTTTGAAAATCAGTGCTGATTAAAAGTATATCAGGAGTTTCAGATAGCACCATGGTAAGAATGGGCAAAAAATTAGATATGTATTGAACATAGTTTGCATGTGGTCACAACACTTCCTCTATCCTCTCTCCTTATGGACACTGCCCATGAAGTTTCTTCTCTTTTTTATTACCTTTTCTTTATTTGAGTTTTATTTTCTTTTGTACTTGACATGCTGTGGTTTATTCAGTAATAAATAATTAAAGAGAATGAATTTATTCAATGTGTATGAAACAGTTTTATTCATTTTCTTTAATTTATCTTAAATATTAAAGTGTCCATTTTTTAGGGTTGTCTTATACTAGACAGTAAAGTAGTGGAAGAGAAACTTATTAAAAGGAAATAACACTTTTAACTTCTTTTCTTGGATTGTTCAGCCAATTTGAACCAAATTGAGCTGGGATAATATATGCAAAGTTCTCTGACTGTATGCATCCTGCTCAATGAAAAACAAACACATCTGAAGGTAAATTTTTAAGAAGTTATCTTTTCTTGAGCAATCATGGTGTAAATTTAACCATGTGAGTGATTCAGGTTCCTATGAGTATCTAGGTTATATTTGCTGCAAAACAGTCAAGACATATCTGTGAGAACAGTTTTATTGACAGATATGCATCAAATAAGTACAGTAGAGAACCCAGCTATTCGAGTGGAAGATGAGAAGAATGAGTTGAGCAAAGATGCATGGTATGATGAATATGATGATATAGATGAACCACCAGATGCAGGCGAAATGGTAGATGACCAGTCAGATATTAGTGACTTTGAAGAAACATATATAAAACGCCGCAAGAAAAAGGTAAACAGAATTATTATGAAATTTCTGTTCCAGTGTAAAATAGAATTAGGAAGCAAATGTATTGTAAACCATGCATGGCTAAGGTGTTAATTTTGAATATATTCAATATTTTATCATAGGAACAAATTGAATTAACTCTATTCTTGGCTGGTTGGGCTGGCAGACAGGTAAAGATATCTAATATTTGTAAACAACTCCTCCTACAGATCCCAAAAGGCCAAGTGAGCTTTTCTCATCACTTGGCGTCAGTCGTCATCAGTTAACTTTTACAACAATCTTCTCCTCTGAAACTACTTAGCAAAATTTAACCTAACTTGGCCACAACTTTTATTAACTTATGTTATTTACAACATAACATTTAGGTATGTTGGTGTAGAGTTGGAAGACTATATGTTTATCCCTTGATGTCTTCTGTTTTTTGTGTCATTGGATTCCATTCTAAGTGATGTTTTCATGACATCTCCAAGGATGATCAGTTAGAGGATTGTGTAAAACTATTGATTCTTATGTTTATTTATGACCCAGGATGACTGTTGAGCACTTTTACTTTACCAATTAAGTACTCCACTGTCATATAATGGTGATTTCTCATCTAAATTTTAATTTTATAAACAGGAAAAGATAGTAACTGTCACAAATCATTGCTAAATGAACAGTTAAAGAAGCATTCTTTCTCTTATTCTTAGCAGATTAGATCAAATAGATAAAAAAAAATACTCATTTGGAGAACCTTCAGTCTCCCCTTTTCCTGCTGATAGGAGTATAACTACCAGATAATTTGAAGGAGTTGACTTTCTTCAGATTGCAAAACTTTTCATTAAATCATTAACCTAAATGCATTGCAATGCGTCACTTCTAACTGGCGTTAGCTCATTACAATCCATTTTATTCAACATTACTAATCTTGACGGGACAAAGCAAAATTTTAAATTTAACAATAAAGATTGAGATGAAAAATAGAGGTGAATGATACCAAAGGGACATTCAAAATGATAAGTCGAAAATAAACTGACAACACCATGTTGAAAAAAGAAAAAAGACCAAAGACAAACAACAGTACTCAAAACACAACATAGAAAACTAATGACTGAGCAACACGAACCCCACCAAAAACCTGGGTCGATCTCAGGTGTTCCAGAAGGGTAAGTAGATCCTGCTCCACACGTGGCACCTGTCATGTTGCTCATGTAAGAGCAAACCAGGTGATAATTCTAATTCGGTAGGTCACATTTGAGGAAAAGATAGGTCAAGATTGGAGGCAGACTTAACTATATCTGCTTTATCCTTTATCTCAAGTTCGATGGGATAGATGTGTTCAACTTAGTCACCAAACTTTGGATTATTTAGTGAGAGAACATGACTGTTTAATGTTTATATATCTCTTCTTTTAATTCATAAAAGGGACCTGGAAGAGGTAGAAAGAAAAATATTGATAAAGATAAAGACTTAAATCCAGAGGAAAGAGAAAAACCATATGCCTGTGAAGTGTGCAATGCCAGGTATAAGACCAGGCCAGGGCTATCATATCATTACAACCATTTCCATAATGGTATAATAGATGATCAAGAATTATCTCAGTCACCCAAGCCTCAGAGATCAACTCGCAATTCCAGTGGTAAGATATTTAAGCACACTTGTAGAAGGGTTTAGATATGCTTTGGTTAAAGTATTTAAAACATGAATACACTGAAAGCTTCTTATATAAGTCCATCTAAAATTTTTTAGAGATTCTGAAAAGTTGTATGGCCAATTTCCCCTGTATTTATTTCACTGACAGGGTCAATATCTAAAAGTTGTCAAATCCTACCAAAAATTGAATATTTCAAAGTCAATATCATATACTTATAAAAAGTGTTTCACAATTTTCCATATTTCCATATTATATCATATCAATAATGCTGTTGAAGGCATTTTTATGCAAAATTGAAAATTTTTCATGCTTTAGTAAATTTTTGCATTGAAGGACATAGCTGCCAAAATGAATTGATTTGTATCTGAAACACAATACATAGCTTTACTGCCAGCATGATTTTTGTTTGGTCAACAATGTCCTTGTACATTTTTGGGTTGAATAATGAATATTTGACAAAATCTCTCAAATTGGCAGTCTTGTGCATTCTGATGATGACCTATTTAGAAATTAGTATTTGACCATATTATCAACATTTTGATGGGAGTTAAGGGAGTTTGACCATTTGTTAAAGAATTGTACCGACACCACCTTGTAAATGCAACTCCTCAATAACCGTTTTACAGAAAGCTCTAATTCTTAGTAGTATTGTTTGTCATGTGTAGTTGACCATATTATACCACCATTTTGATTTGACAAATTTTACTGGAGTTATGGGACTTTATTTGTTGACATATTGTAACAACAACACCTTGTGAATGCAACTCCTCATAGACCATTTTAAAGAAAGCCCTCATACTTACTGGTATTATTTGACATTATGTGTAGTTGACCATGTTATAGAGTCATTTTGATCCAGGCATTTTTATGGGAGTTATGGGACTTTTATTTTTTTTTTTTTTTAAGTTTTGCAATAGGTTCACCTTGTGATGCAACTCCTCTAGATCTGAGACCATTTGACAGAAAGTTGTCATATTTGGTAGGGTTGTTTGCCGTCATGTGTAGTTGACCATATTAAACTGTGATTTTGGTTGGGACTATTTTTATGGGAGTAAGTTGGTTTTTTTTATACCTTATTTTGACTATCCTTCCATAATGACACATTGTGACACAATTTAATTCCTCTTTTAAACAGCACGTGGACATTTGACTATGCGTAGCAGTCTTGTTTCTTTTAATTTATGAAGTCTTATCTCGATTTTACAACAAATTTCAAACTCCCTCTCTTAAAAATCTCTTAATTGTTCTACTAACAATTGCTAACTGAGACATCATCTTTTAAATGATATGTAATCAATCCTAAATATTCTGGAATACACAAAATGAAATCTATACATGGAGCCATTTCACATGACTGATGACATGTTAGAAACTTTGCTTAATATTTTGGCTGTACAATTGGAAACAATGCAAAAGTTTAATTGAAGTCTAGTAATCTTTGTAGAAGGTACAAATCATTGGGATATTAGTACATGTAGATGTATATATATAGATTCTACCACTGCATCGAGTGTGATACGATATTTATCCACTCGAGACAGTTAAATTTTCAAATTTAAAAAGCGAGGCTTGCCGAGCGTTTTAAATATTTAAAATTTAACTGTCGAGAGTGGATAAATATCGTATTACACGAGATTTGGTGGTGGAATCTGTTTCTCTAATGATTTTCAAACAATACGCAGGCAAATTTATTCCTTCTTTTTCGAATGATCTGCAAAAAGATGTGTTCTTTCTATGTGACGTCATTAGGCATGGTCGCCTTTTTTCATGCCGTCACAATAGGAAATTCAGAGGAAAGCAAGAAAATTCGATGTCATAATCGGATTTTAACCAATGAAGAACTGAGATCAAACGAACCACACGTTGATTAAATTTTTTATATACAACGGGTGCAGAAAGGGATAAATTGACGAAGAATTAGAGAAACGTATATATGTATGAATGATGATGTTTCATTGAAAAATTTATGTGAATGAACATGAAAAATGTGATGTTGCTGCATTGTACAAAACATTACATGGCATCATTGCCTAATGATTTTTAGTGTTACAATCCAGTACATCCTTTCTGCAATCTAAGAAATTATTAGGCATTAGGATCAAATTGCCAATTAATAGCCGTAATAGATATAAGAAGATGTGGTATGAGTGCCAATGAGACAACTCTCCGTCCAAGTCACAATTTGTAAAAGTAAACCATTATAGGTCAAAGTACGGCCTTCAACACGGAGCCTTGGCTCACACCGAACAGCAAGCTATAAAGGGCCCCAAAAATGACGAGTGTAAAACCATTCAAACAGAAAAACCAACAGTCTAATCTATATAAAAAACGAGAAACACATATGAACCACATCAACAAACGACAACCACTGAACATCAGGTTCCAGCTAAAAAACAATAATAAAAGTATACCAGGTACTTATTTTAGTTTATTTTTAATCATTATCATGTTTATTCATTACCACAGAAAAAACTAACAACTTAACACCTAAATTTTAATGTACTTGACTTTATGAGATGGCCATTACTTTGCAGTTACAGTCACTAAAGTATAAACACTGCAGGTATTTTTGATAAGTTATTCTGTTTTATATAGGGAGTATTTACTTAGATGTAAATATCTTTCTTATTTCAGGTCCAAAAAGTAGTATGACGATAGATGATAAAATATCTGCAAATAATTATTGTGATTTTTGTTTGGGTGATTCCACTGAAAATAAGAAAACTGAGATGCCAGAAGAATTGGTTTCCTGTAGTGATTGTGGACGTTCTGGTAAGAAGTATACATACTATTGCTAATCATTTCCTATATCACCTATTTTGTTTTAGATATTTTTGTCATATAGCTCTTCAACTGTTTCGGTACTTATATATCCCTCGGATTTCAAATGTTTGGCATTGAGCGTTCCTGATGAAGGTAAATCCAGAAAAGCGCTTCGGACGCATGCAATTATTAAACGTGTTGTTTTCAATTTTTTACAGCAGGAGACTACCATAGTGGTAGTGCTGTTTATATGGAAATTGATGATATTTACATTATTGTTACAATTATTTTTAAAAACCTCTATATTCAGACATTTATTACGTACATGTATATTAAACACTCACATTCATAATTTCACTAGTTTCAATTTTCAGACCTTAAAGAAGGTATGATCAATATGAGACATTACTTGGTGCCTAAAATAACAAAAATAGTGGAAGTCCTCAGTCCTTTCATAATGTTGGTTTTTATGGACAAATAAATAGGATTTTATATTTCGGACATTTAGTATAGAATATCAGGTGTGATGTCATAAAAATGTAAAAATATACTTATATATTGAGATTAATGACCAGTTTACATATAGTTTTTGCAAAAATTAAACATGAGATTAAGGTTTCCCTTAAATGATATTTTTCCTCGTTAACATCTTTGTATAAGACGGTGTAGCAAAATATCTTATTGGTTAATGTGACTCTTATAATATTAATGCTATTACCTCATTGTGTACTTTGATAATTCTTATATGTTTAAATTTTTTTTTTTTTTTTTTAGGACATCCAACCTGTCTACAATTTACACAGAATATGATTGTATCAGTGAAGAAGTATCCATGGCAATGCATTGAATGCAAGTCCTGTGGTCTTTGTGGAACATCTGACAATGATGTAAGGCTGAAAATATTTTGTATGGACAAATTTTTTTGCAAAAATTTTTCAGTTATATTTCATTTGAGAGAACCTATATTTTAGCTTTATTTTTATTGTGATAAAGGTGTGCATGTCCATCTGGCAGGTTTCATCTTAACGCAAGTAAGATTAAGGCCAGGAATCTGAGCAGGTTTATTTTCTCCCAGCAGTAATTAGACCCTAATAACAGACATGATTCACCTGACCTTGACCTCTTTTCATGGATCAATGATCAATGTTAAGTTTTCATTGTTAGATCTGTTTCTCAGATACTAAAAGCAACAGGTCACAACATATTTGGTGTATGGAATGATTATAGGTTGCACTTCTGTAAATATAGACAATGCAATTTCCCATAGGAACTCCCTTTGCAGCTAAAGCTGTGCCACTTTTACTATGAAGTTTCGTAAAAAAATATATCCTAGATCTGAAAGTTGATATGCACTACATTTTTATTCAAAGGTCAAAACATAGGGCTGTGCGGCATATTTTCAACATTTATATGCCCTGAACTTCTAAGAGTATAAACTTAAACTAAAATTCTGTACTATCCCTACCTCCACTTTGGGTGTCCCTCTGAATTCAATTATCGCCGCTACCATCTGTTTTTATACTGGTAACATTCGCAAGTTTTTCTCTATGAGATGAAACATAGAGATCATATCTGGGACAAAATATCTATGAATATTATATATCTCCCCAAAAGAGGCATGGCTTTTGAAACAGCTGTATTTACAAAGTGCAACCTATAAGGTGAACATGTCTTTGTTGTAGGGTTCATCTGACCTTGACCTCATTTTCATAGTTCATTGGTCAATGTTAAGTTTTCATGATTAGGTCTGTTTCTCAGATATGATGAGCAATAAGTCAACATATATGTTTGGTGTACATTTCTGTCTGGTAGGGGTTATCTGACCATGATTTCAATTTCATTGTTCATTGGTCAAAGTTGTTTTTATGCAGGAGCGGAGGGGGCAGTAAGTTTTACCCTTGTCCCTCTGTACATCCATCCGTACGTCCCAAAGTTTTTTTTTACGTTCTCTAACTTTAGTTTGCCTCAACCAAATGTTATGAAAATTATACATAATGCTTATTACCACAAAACACAGATCAAGTTTGAATTTTGGTGGCATCACTTTAACCGTTCTAGAGTTATGCCCCTTTGCAAATGGAAAAATTGCTGAATTTTTCGTTTCCGTTCTGTAACTTTAGTTTGCCTCAACTAAATGCTATGAAACTTATACACAATGCTTATTACCACAAAATACAGATCTAGGTTGAATTTTGGTGGTGTCACTTCAACCGTTCTAGAGTTATGCCCCTTTACAAATGGAAAAATTGCTGAATTTTTGTTTCCGTTCTCTAACTTAAGTTAGCCTCAACCAAATTTTATGAAACTTATACACAATAATTATTACCACAACACTCAGATCAAGTTCAAATTTGGGTAGCGTAACTTTTAGCGTTTTTCAGTTATGTCCCTTTATAACTTTATATGATATGCAAGCGGGGGCATCACCTGTGTCCCATGGACACATTCCACATTTATTAGTCCGCCATCGACGAAATCGAAGGGGACTTTAGGTTTGCACTCTGTCCGTCTGTCTGTCTGTCCTACAGTCAGTCCGGCAAATCAGTTTTCCACACTTTTTATGCCCCGCCAAAGAGGAGGGGGCATTAAGTTTTACCCTTGTCTGTCGGTACGTCCCAAAATTGTTTTCTGTTCTCTAACTTGGGTTTGCCTCAACCAAATGTTATGAAACTTACACACAATGCTTATTACCACTAAACACAGATCAAGTTTGAATTTTGGTGGCGTCACTTTAACCGTTCTAGAGTAATGCCCCTTTATAAATGGAAAAATTGCAAAATTTTTAGTTTCCGTTCTCTAACTGAAGTTTGCCTCAACCAAATGTTATGAAACTTATACACAATGCTTATTACCACAAAACACAGATCAAGTTTGAATTTTGGTGGCGTCACTTTAACCGTTCTAGAGTTATGTCCCTTTATAAATGGAAAAATTGCAAAATGTTTAGTTTCCGTTCTCTAACTTAAGTTTGCCTCAACCAAATGTTATGAAACTTATACACAATGCTTATTACCACAAAACACAGATCAAGTTTGAATTTTGGTGGCGTCACTTTAACCGTTCTAGAGTTATGCCCTTTATAAATGGAAAAATTACAAAATTTTTATTTTCTTCTAAATATCAAGTAATTTTTAAAATTGGAGTTATCTTCCTTTGTCCATGATTATAGGTGAATCAACTACAATCAATGCTTTATACAATGCAATATTTAATTTTGACTTCCACTGATAAAACACAGATCAAGTTGAATTTGGGGAGTGTCACTTTAACCATTATTGAGTTATGCCCCTTTATAAATCGAAAAATTGCAAAATGTTTAGTTTCCGTTCTCTAACTGAAGTTTGCCTCAACCAATTGTTATGAAACTTATACACAATGCTTATTACCACAAAACACAGATCAAGTTTGAATTTTGGTGGCGTCACTTTAACCGTTCTAGAGTTATGTCCCTTTATAAATGGAAAAATTGCAAAATGTTTAGTTTCCGTTCTCTAACTTAAGTTTGCCTCAACCAAATGTTATGAAACTTATACACAATGCTTATTACCACAAAACACAGATCAAGTTTGAATTTTGGTGGCGTCACTTTAACCGTTCTAGAGTTATGCCCTTTATAAATGGAAAAATTACAAAATTTTTATTTTCTTCTAAATATCAAGTAATTTTTAAAATTGGAGTTATCTTCCTTTGTCCATGATTATAGGTGAATCAACTACAATCAATGCTTTATACAATGCAATATTTAATTTTGACTTCCACTGATAAAACACAGATCAAGTTGAATTTGGGGAGTGTCACTTTAACCATTATTGAGTTATGCCCCTTTATAAATCGAAAAATTGCAAAATGTTTAGTTTCCGTTCTCTAACTGAAGTTTGCCTCAACCAATTGTTATGAAACTTATACACAATGCTTATTACCACAAAACACAGATCAAGTTTGAATTTTGGTGGCGTCACTTTAATTGTTCTAGAGTTATGTCCCTTTATAAATGGAAAAATTGCAAAATGTTTAGTTTCCGTTCTCTAATTTAAGGTTTCCTCAACCAAATGTTATGAAACTCATACACAATGCTTATAACCACAAAACACAGATCAAGTTTGAATTTTGGTGGCGTCACTTTTACTGTTCTCAAGTTATATCCCTTTATAAACATAAAAATTGCTGAATTTTTCGTTTCTATTCTCTAACTTTAGTCTGCCTCAACCAAATGTTATAAAACTTTTACACAATGCTTATTACATATAACAAATAATACAGATCAAGTTCGAAATTGGGTGGACATACTTTTACCATTCTTGAGGTATGCCCCTTTAAAAACATAAAAATTGCTGAATTTTCCTTTTTCGTTCTCTAACTTTAGTTTGCCTCAACCAAATGTTATGAAACTTATACACAATGCTTATTACCATAAAATACAGGTTAAGTTTGAATTTTGGTGGTGTCACTTTTACCGTAGTAGAGTTATGTCTTTTTGCAAATGGAAAAATTGATGAATTTTTTTGTTTCTGTTCTGTAACTTTAGTTTGCCTCAACAAAATGTTATGAACAATACATATTACCACAAAACTCAGATCAAGTACAAATTTGGGTAGTGTCACTTTTACCGTTCTTCAGTTATGTCCCTTTATAACTTTATATGATATACAAGTGGGGGCATCATCTGTGTTCCATGGACACATTCCCCATTTATTTTCTTCATGCTTGAAGATATTGATTTGATATTTGATGTATTGTTTTATCATGACAAGTTATGGATCAAGTTTGAAATTTGTTCCGTTCTGATGATTTTGTGCAGAGTTATGGTCCTTGGACAGAAAATTCACTCAAATAATCAGTTTTCCGTACTTTTTTTTTGTCATTCTTGAAGATATTGATTTGATAATTGGTATATAGTTTTATCATGAAAGTTACAGATCAAGTTTGAATTTTGTTCTGGTCTGATGATTTTGTGTAGAGTTATGGTCCTTTGACTTGGAAAATTCACTCAAATTATCAGTTTTCCGCACTTTTTTTGGGTCATTCTTGAAGATATTGATTTGATGATTGGTATATAGTTTTATCATGACAAGTTACAGATGAAGTTCAAATTTTGTTCCGGTCTGATGATTTTGTGTAGAGTTTTGGTCCTTGGACTTAGAAAATTCACTTAAATAATCTGTTTTCAACACTTTTTTTCGTCATGCTTGAAGATATTGACTTGATATTTGTTATATAGTTTACACCATGACAAGTTATAGATCAAGTTAGAATTTTGTTCCAATACAATGAAGGGGCTATGTATTGCCATGCAATACTCACAGACTGCTTGTTATTAATAAGGTTTGTTTCTCAGAAACTATACTGCAATAGGTCAACTATATTTGGTGAATTGAATGATTGTCAGGTGTGTATGCCCAGCAGGGTTCATCTGTTCTTGACATCATTTCATGGTTCATTGGGCAACGTTTATTTTTTTTTCGTGATAAGGTCTATTTTTCAGATGTTATAAGCAATAGGTCAACTATATTTGGTGAAGTAAATGATTATAAGGTGTACATGTCTGTCTGGCAGGGTTCATCTGAGATTGAACTCATTTCTTGATCAGTTATCAAAGTTAGTTTTATGTTTATTTATATCTCAGTGACAAGAAGCAATAGGTCACCTATATTTGGTGAATGGATTAATTGTTAGGTGTATATGTCTGTTTTCGGCAGGATTCGTCTGACCTTGACTTCATTTTCAGAGATCAATTATATAACTAATAATTTTAATATAATCATAATAATTGTGATACCTGAAGTAAAACCTTATCTTTAAACTTTCAATATTCAATTGTAATAAGTTAAGCAGATTAGACATTGTTTAGATTGTTACTAATTGAAAGTTACAATAATATTTAATTCCTATTACATGTATCTTTTTTTAGGATCAGTTACTGTTTTGTGATGATTGTGATCGTGGATATCATATGTATTGTTTAAATCCACCTCTTACTACACCACCAGAAGGTATGTAATTAATAAATAACAAATTAAATTTAAAAAGAAAGGATATGGGTAGATATACATAATATAGACATCCCTGAGATTCCAGAAAATAACACTGCTTCATCAAAGTAGTAGAATCTTCAGTCCTGTTTTTATGCCTCCCCTGTCACTGGAGGGGGCATTAAGTGTTACCCTTGACCGTCCGTACGTTCATCAGTACGTACATCCTGAAATTGGTTTCTGTTCTCTAACTTTAGTTTGCCTCAACCAAATGTTATGAAACTTAAACACAATGCTTATTACCACGAAACACAGATCAAGTTGGAATTTGGGTGGGGTCACTTTTAACATTCTTGAGTTATGCCCCATTATAAAGTTATATGCAAGCAGGGGCATCATCCATCTGTGTCCCATGGACACATTCTCCATTTATTTTGTTTTGAAATGATTAATTCAACAGACACCTTACAGAAAAAATCAAAAAAGCTTCTAGAATCAACCTAAGAAATATTCTGATGTCTTTGAAGGATATACATAGCAGTGATACACACTGCATATGAAACTGGTTAAAACATTAACAAAATTTCAGCTAATACTAAAATTTAGTTTTTCTGGGCCAGAGGCTCCATTTGGACAAACATATATAATGTTAGAGATTTGTGCCTTTTTTGAATGATTTATGATCTAACATTTTACTGAATATACAACAAAACGTGTTTTTAGTTTCAATAACTTTATCCATAAACCAAAATATTTTCATTGTCTAAAAAGACTTTAAGCCATTTCATAAGGGATGGTAGATATTATTTAACAGCATGCTTTGTATTTTGTCTTACTTGAGGAGGGAAGGTACAGGATATTCTCCAAGGGAAAAATTTCCGTTGTGAAAATTGATCTGAAACCATTGGTAGAGGACTTTTAAAATTAATTTCACTTTGAAATCTTATGAAAATGTAGATTTGTCGAAACTTCAAAGCTATGAAACTTGATAAAAACTATTTGACAGAAATTTTCCTTCAATATAAATACCTTCAAACCTCTATTTAAGATTTTCTAATGAGGATAACTACAAGTGGCTGGTAAAGAGATGTGACGTCTTAAATGAAGTTCCTGATTCTTTCCTAGTTCAGTTGTTTTAAATACACCACTAAATATATTAATATCTAAACTTCTATGGCACCCATTTCTAGCTGAAATTTCAAATAAAAATTTATTGACCAATATAATAATGAATCCTAGCTAAAACAATGACTAGATAAGAAATCTATCTCACTTGAATATTTCGTTTTTCAAAACCTGAACTCTGTTTCCTAGGCCTAAATGTGAAGATTGTGTCAACTGTAACCAAAATCTCTATTTTTGGCCTATTTGGGGTGTAAATGTCAACGCTTTATTAGTTGAAATTACACTACATACTTTGTTTATCTATTGATTCCATGAAAGACATTCATTGATTATAATGCCATGTAATTTTTCATTGTTTACATTTTGTAAAAGAATTTCACTGTATTCTATCTTTAATGTTTCTTGTAAGCTTTGAAGCTTCCTATTTGATATAACTAACATAGATTTGGATTTCTTAAAATTTCAAATCATATCATTATTTTCACATCATATTTTAAAAGTTGCCATCTCGTCATTATTTTTATCACATATATCATTAACGGAACTTGAGGAGTATTTCAGTGTTGTGTCATCCGCATACAAATCAGGCTTTGTATGATTTAGTTGAAGGTGGGAGATCATTAATATATAAAGGAAATAATAAAGGGCCTTGAATACTGCCCTGCGGTACACCAAATTTTACTTTTTTACCTGAAGATATGTTGTTGTTTATTTTTACTTTTTGAGACCCGTTTGATAAATATGATTTGAACCATTTAAAAGAAAGAGTATCAAACTTCCCTCTGTTTGTTCTTTCTTTCCTCTTTCTATTTCACTTTTGTATCTGCAACTGCTCCTGAACTGCTTGACAGAATTTTTCTGAACTTTCACAGAACCTTACTTACATGATACACTTTTGAGCATCCTATTTCACTTCTTCATCTGACTGATTTTAAAGGTATACATAATATCAGTATCTTTACCATATAATGCTATTGTGCACCTCCTATTAAGGTTTTTTTGGGGTTACTCTCACCAAAGCATGAAATTTGCCATTGCTGTATTTTTGTGCATATTCATTTTGTATCTGCAACTCCTCCTAAACCCTTTATTACAATTTATTGAAATTTCCTCACAATCATAACCTTATAATGCTATTGTGCACCTCATATTTTATGGTTTCCTTCAGCAAATTATGTCAGAATTTAATAAAACGTTCTCAGAATCTTCTTCTTATAAAGCTGTTGTTCACCTCCAATTCTGTTTTTGATCTCAACTATAAATGGGGTTTCCCTTACCAAAATAAAAAAAATATGGAGATGATTGCCAATAAGACAACTATCCACCAAAGTTCAAATAAAGTGGATGTAAACAGTTAAAGGCAACTGTACGGCCTTCAACAATGAGAAAAACCCATACCGTATAGTCTCTTTAAAAGGTCCCGACATGAAAAATATGAAACAATTCAATGGAGAAAACTAATGGTCTAATTTATACGAAACAATTTACAAATACAAATATAGGGAAGGGTTGAGATCTCACAAAACATATTTAACCCCGCCACATTTTTGCGCCTGTCCCAAGTCGGGAACCCCTCTGGCCTTTGTTAGTTTTGTATGTTTTTTAATTTTAGTTCATTTATATGTTTTGGAGTTTAGTATGACTTCCATTTTCACTGAACTAGTACACATTTTTATTTAGGGGCCAGCTGAGACCCACCTCTGGGTGTGGGATTTTCTGGCTGCATTGAAGACCCATTTGTGGCCTTCAGCTGTTATCTGCTCTTTGGTCGAGTTGTTGTCTCTTTGACATATTCCCCATTTCCATTCTCAATTTTATGACAGACACATGAACCAACGAAAAACCACTGAACTACAGGCTCCTGACTTGGGACAGGCACATAAATAATGTGGTGGGGTTAAGCATGCTTGTGAGCACTCAACCCTCCCCTAACCTGGGACAGTAGTGTTACCGCACAACATAAGAACAAACTATAAAAATCAGTTGAAAAGGGCTTAACTCATCAGATCGATACAAAGCAGAAAATCTAACAAAAACATAGACCGAACGTGGCAGGGTTTTTATACATCCCTAACAACAAAAAAACACAAAGTACAGATCTGAGAGTACTCGCAGTAACTGACAGCTAGTTCAAACAACTTCAAAGCCAATAACAACTAATAAAAAAAATCATGTATCTAAAGCATCGACCTTTGCAAGGAGCAGAGGGGTACCATTTTGTGAGATTTGCTTGCAGTACATTTAGCTCACATTATTTGTTTATGTGTATCAATTCAGAATCTAAATCCATTGATTTGTACTTATTTGATAATTTATTGATTGTTTGACAACTTGTCAGTAGACAAGTAAGTATTTGCTAAGGTAAATTTAGTGTTTTGTTTCTTGCATGCATAGATTTTTTTTTTTATTCCTCAGCTAGTGTAATCAGGCATTCTCCCATGGATCCACAAGTCGTTGATGCGGCATATCCAGTCAGAAAATCTTTTATCTATTCCTTGACTGAGAACCTTGTATTAAATATTTGATTGTACCCACACTCATAAAGTGGGTGGTTTTCTGAATTCTTCTTGTTAGTCCTTTCTGTTTGGCATCCATTTGTCTAACTGCCTGTTGGTAACTTTTGTTACATGTTTCTCAGCTTCTACTTCATGGTTGTTCTGGAACTTTATAATCCTGAGTTGAACTCGAACCGTAGTATTTGCTGGGCAGTCTTTTTTCTTTGGAAATTATTAAGACACTAAGGTTTTAACACCTTTTCAGGTTCCAAACAGTTGGCAAATGATTTATTTGTGATTTTTTTCAAAAATAATAGTTGATGACCCCAAATGCTATGAAACATTTATGGCAGTTTTTTTTCTAAAAGTACCAAAAGAATGAATAAAATACAGTGAATTGATTTTCATAATGTATGAAATGTTTATAGATTCCTCACTCAATGATATCCATTTTGCACAATACAAGTATCTTCCTTACTTGTGAAAATCTGCTTACATATTTGTCTATTTTATACATATCTTCAATACAAGGATTATGGATGTTTAAATTTTGCAGGTAACTGGAGTTGTCATTTGTGCATTGAAGAATTCCATGGTGGAAAGAAGCCAGAGGGAATGAACTAGTCATGAATTGTCTGAAGATTCTATGTTGTTAATAACTTTAAATGTAATTGTTAAAAACATTGTTACAAAATTTAAATTTAATTGTAAATCAAAATTACAAAAAACAAGATCAAATAATTTGTATCGATCCATCAGATTGAAATAGTTCATTACATAGTTTGTACAAAAATGTATATGATTATTTTAAAAGAATATTCATTTTTTTTATATAATAATGTGAGAGTTAAAAACAACTGAATAAGTTATTGTTCAGTCAAAATCTATGTTTACATGTTTAAGAATAAACTTTTTTAATATCAATGTATCTCTGTTTGTCACGACATAAAATAAAGAAATGTAGTATGATTACCAATGAGACAACTATTCACTGGAGTCCAAATGAAACAGATTAAGCAACTATTGGTCATTGTATAGCCTTCAACAATGATTGATTGATTGGTGATTGCTTTATCCCGCATCATCATCCTTCAACAATGAGCAAAACCCATACCATGTAGTCAGCTATAAAAGACCCTGACATAACAAAAGGTGAAGCAATTAAAACAAGAAAACATGTCAGATTTTTACATCCTGATAGTTTTTGAGGGTTTTTTATGCTGGTGTGTCTGCCCATTAATCCTGCTTGTGTTTCAATATTTGGTTAATATTTAGGGTTCATTTTATAAATTGTTAAATATAGTGAAAACTGAACAGTAAATTTATGATAAAAATTAACCTTTGGAAATCATTCCAGTACTGAACTGACAGTCTACCAGCAGTACCGTAGAAAGGCTTGTATAGTCCGCGGTTTTATTCTCCAAAATTGGACCTTCCAGACGGGGTGCGGACTATAGAGTACAATAAGCAAGAAATAAGAGAAAAATTTCAATTTCGCGGTCGAGGTGGTTTGTTTACGTTCCGCCATCTTTGTTATTTCTATTGTAGAGGGCGCTCTTATCATTTTTCAAACTAATAATTTTAACTCATCCATATTAATAAGTTATTTCTATTCAATATCAAATTAATACTGATAAATATAAAAAACTAAACCTTTCATTACAAATTTCTCGTTTCTTTTCAATGCATTGGTTGAAATAAACTGGTATCTGCTTGATTGAAACGATACAAACATAGGGAAAAAGACAACCGTAAACCAGCTTAGAATTTGTAAACTACAAAACGTAATCGGTTATTGTTCGTTCCGTTTTGGTGTTTCATACTGACTAATATGGTTTGTATTAGCTTAAGACCCTTCAAACATTAATGTGATAGATATATTAAAGACTGTTTTACAAAAGGATGGAACTGTTTTACTTTCAAAGTCGTATTATAGTGATATCTGTTATGTACGGATTTCGACTTTCACCGGTTAATTTCTTCTTTTACACGTGCTTTTTAAACTTCCTGTTTAAACATACACAAGTTTCTAAATTGTTTTTTAAGTGAATTAAACTTATTTTAACAATCATGAAGCGTTCTAGAATCATTTACAAGCAGTTTCAGCTTCTGTTTGATGATGGAAAACAGGTTTTTCCAAGAAAATACCGCAAACGACCGCACAGGATTTGAAATTACCGGAGTTTCATTAGACCTTTTCTAACAGTTACAAAAAGTTTTTTTACCTAAAATTTCGTTGGGAGAAGGGGGTGCGGACTATGTACCACTGCGAACTATACAAGCCTTTCTACGGTATGCCCAGTGATAATAATATAAACAAATGACAATTTTGTTGTAATATAAAAAGTAAGAAAAGCTTAATACCAAAAATTTAGGAGCATCAAAGACCTACCATATGTAAAATAAAATTTGTTAAGTTACTATGTAACTACTCTTTGACGAATTTAATAAAAACATTAACAAGTAAAAAGCTGGCAAACCAGCTGATGCTTCATGCACTACATTTATTGAGATAAAAAAAATGTATTTCAAGGGTTCAAAATACATGTACTAGTTTGCATGAAGGGATAAATAAACATGTGCTATAATTGCTAATTATTCACCTGTTTACATGTGTTACAATTCATAGTGGGTGCCATCATAAAACCAACTTTAAACTTTTAGTTACAGCGACCTTAATCTTTGACCCATTGACCCCAAAATCAATAGGATTTTCCCCTTTCCTATATTTTCCATCACTATAAGTTTCATTCCATTCAAGCAAGGGGTGCTCAAGTTATCATCCTGAAACAATTTGTAGGGAACACCCAGCCAGATGGAAGGACAGACAAAGAAAGTGATTACTATAAGTTCCTGAAATTGTTTTTGAGGAGCATAATAAAAAGAGGTGAGACAGCAATTCAAAATCATGATGTATGATAAGATATTAGCCATTGCTATTCAGTTGAAATTTTACACTACTTTTTCACATGGAAGGGGCAGAGATTGAATTCTGACATCACAGAAGTGAGGTATATGAGTAAAAACTAAGGAACGATATAAAAAAATTTAAGTTAGAGTCTCTACAAAGCAGGCCTTCATCAAATAGGTGAGTTACAGTAATCTACAAATCTAATATCAGAAGTATGAAAAGATGTACAGAGCAGTCCAGTGTATCTGTGGAATTAAGACTTTTGGCTATTCTTTGGTAAACTCAAGAAACCAATAATTGGATACAACTTAGACAAATTCATGACATACTTTAATTTCATGAAACTTCATTCAGTATGATTTCATCCTGAAGATTTTGTGTAATGTACCGGTATGTCCAAAATTAGGGAAACTCCTATTTTGACAGTTCTTAAATTGTTCGATGATTTTTTGCATGCCTTTGAAATAAAGTTAATTTTGAATACAGGAACAAATTTTAATCTACAAAATTATGTTCAGTTTAAATTTGAACCAAATAGACCACCAAGGATGCGAAGCAACAAATTTTCATTTTGATAAAAGTGTACCTTAAACTGAAACAATTTTATCTAAACATGTCATAATTTTAATGGAAGATTGTTAAATATGGAATTGCAGTTTTAAATTTATGCTTTAACATAATCAATTTTAAGCTTTAATGTCCTTTCAGAAGACTTAAACTGTTACAAGAACAATTCTTTATATATAACATTGCTGACGTGACAAAATCAGGTAATGCGCAATATCATAGCCCCAAACAAAGGAGTTTCCACTGTACATTTTGTATTACAGTCTGGTAAAGGAAACAATGAAAGAGCATAATTTTATCATACAACATTGCTGATTTTCAATCTGTTGCTGTTCCCTTTCTTTGGTGCAAAAACAAATTGTCTGTATTAATAGAAGTCGGGTTTTGTCACCAGATGAACTCGTGGAGAACAAGGTATCCAATCAATGAAAACTAAGTAAATTTGATAAGTCTTTAAGAAACTTACTTACTACTCCCGTTAGCACCATGTGTCGCATAGGGCGCGAATGGAAACCTTCCATCTGAGTCTGTCTGCTGCTTCTTCTTGTGCTTCTCCCCATGTCCTCCGTCCAAATTTTGTTCTTTCCTTGTTTACCGTTCGTCTCCAAGTTTCCTTTGGTCTTCCTACATTTCTCTTTCCTGGTGGTGTCCCAAGTCAAGGCGATTCGACAATCATTCCATGGGTCCATCCTCAGGATGTCGCCTATCAAACTCCATCTCCTGGTCTTAATGGTGTTGGTGATGCTGCACATGTTGGCTCTTTGCAGCAGTTCTGTGTTAGAAATTTTAGTTGGCCAAAATATCCTGAAGATTCTACGCAAGTTCCTGGTGTTAAAGGTGTTAAGTCTTTCTCCATCTCTCTTGCTTATCTTCCAACATTCTGCCCCATATAACAACACTGATATTACATTGCTTTTATAAATTTTCATTTTGGTGTTTCTACTGTATTGGTTTGATGTCTATATTTTTCTTAACTTGTAGTATGCTGCTCTTGCCTTTTTTATTCTATTCCTTATGTCGGCTGTTGCATTGTCGGTGGTATCTATAACCGCTCCAAGGTATGTAAAACTGTCAACCATCTCTATTTCTTCGTTATCCAATGTAATAGGCTGGATGTTGCTTGCCTTTACACACATTATTTTACTTTTTTTCTTGTTTATTTCTTATCCAGTTGTTTCAGCTATCTTTTGTATATCATCTGTTTTGGCTTGCAATTGTGTTCTTGTTGCTGACAGGAGAGCAATATCATCTGCAAAATCAAGATCTTCTAATACCCCTAATCTTCCCCAGTTGATACCACGCCTTTTCCGTGTTGTTTGCTTCTTTGTCCAGTCTATAACCAGTAAGAAAAGGAAACCAGACATTACACATCCTTGCCTGACTCCAGATTTAATGTGGAACCATTCCGAATGTTTACCCTCGTGGTCAACTACACAACTGAAGTGATTATAAAATGCTTGCACCATCCTGATTAATTTACCTGGAATTCCATAGTTTGCCATGATCTTTTTTAAAGTTTCTCGATGGATAGTGTCAAACGCCCTTTTGAAGTCGATGAAGTTGATAGATATGGGGCTGTTCCATTCAATGCATTGTTCTACTATATATTCGGTTGATACAGCCTCGACCTCTTCGGAACCCAGCTTATTCTTTTGATTATAATTCCCTTCTGCCAGTATGTTGGTATTTCTTCCCTGTTCCAAATCTTTGTAAATAGATGGCAAAAGACTTTTGCTATTGTGCCTATATCAGCTTTCAATAGTTCAGCTTGTATGTTGTCAATACCTGGAACCTTACCATTACCGAGTGCCCGTATACTCTTTATTATCTCTTCAATGGTTGGTGGTTCAATATTCATATCAACATCTCCAGGTTGAATATCTGCTAGTACGGGTGGATCTTTCGGGTTTAAAATCTCTTCAAAGTGTTCTTTCCATCTCTCTAATTGTTCCTTCTCGTTGGTTATTACATGTACCTCTTTTTGACTTTACAGGTCTGTTTCCTCTCATGCCACTGTTGGAAATTTTCTTGCTCAGCATATATAGCTTGTTCTGCTCTCCCTTGTTTGCTGCATCTTCTGCACTTTTTGCTATATTATCAATTTATTTCCTTTTATCATCTCTTGTACTAAATTTTATCTCCTTGTTCTTTGCTTTATAATCTTTCTCCAGCTTTACTCTCTATCTTTGTGATCTTGTAGCATTGATTTTTTGTTTTATCTGTTTCGTTCTTGTATTTTGTGGATACTGTTGGCAGTGATCCATTCTGGTTGTTTCCTGTCTTTAAAACCCAGTGTTTGCTCACCAACCTCACATATTGCTTGTTTGATATCTATCTTCTATGCCTTCTGTTTCTCCCAATATCTGAAATCTGTTCCTTAAAAAAACCAGACATATAATTGTATTATATGTCTCTGATAAAACCAAAAGAGATTTGATCTGAGAAA